TATGACTGTTGCTCGAATTTCATCAGATATTTCCACTCTTTGTCTTTGTCTTCCTCCTCCACTTTCTTGCCGCCCTCCTCCTTGCACCCTTCCTCTTTCTTGTCATCCTCCTCCTCCTCCTCCTCATCACCCACCTCGCATACGCCCTCGTCCTCTCACATTGTTTCTTCTATCCATGCTCAGACTTTCTCCTTTCTACCTTCAACAATCTGTTTGCTCTCTGAACTGGCTTATATTGGTTGTGTCACATCATTTGAAACAGGTGACATCAATTTTGAGTGGTTGTGTTCAATCAATGACATGTTTTCTCTAATTGTATTTGAGCATTGCTACTTGTGTTTACCAGTATGGATGACGTGTGCATTAGAGTGTAGAATGTGTTTTGAGAATGAGAATGTGTTTAGAGTTTTGCTGAAAAGTCTAAGTAAGATCTGAATATTGTGTTTTACCATGTGAAATGGTTTAAGGTATTGACAACAGACTGCACAATCAGCTAAATGAGGTCAGGCAACTGAGAACTTTCTTCAGCTAATGGGTTTTAGTGTTTTAGCAATTGAGAAAAACTGTAAAATGTTCAATCTGTTCAAAACATCTAACTGGTTACTTTGCAAATCACAATAGATCAATCTTACCTAATTGATTGAATTCTCATTTACAACCACGTTTAGTCTTTTCCATATTGGGGCTGGTTTACAGAAATTTGCAAATTCTGTCTTAACTGTTTGGTAACCATGGTAACTAGTGTTAGGATCTGGTTTAAGACAAAAGGTATTACAGATGAACAGTTCCTTAGCCATTGTTCCTTATGGAAGTAAATCTGTGTCATCACAATTTGAATTTTATATGCCACTGAAATTCTAACATAGAAAATAGATGTATAACTCGTATTTTTAACCTCGTATTTTTGCATGTGAATTCGGACCGTCGAATTGAAGCAACTTTGAAATGTTACCATCTCAGACTCAAGATTATTCTGAAAGTTGCTCCAGTTATCCAGCCAGTACACCAGATCCTGTTTCCCCGAACACAGCACGTTATTGGCAAATTAGTGGCTCTAGATGTCAACGAACCAGTGACAGAACCTGCTGAAGGTGATGAGAAACAAGTCAGAATCTGCATTGATATGTGGAGAGCCAATGAAGCCAGAGTGTCACCCCACAATTGATGAAACTATCCAAGAAATGGCTGGAGGAAAATATTTCAGAAAATTTACCTGAATGTGGCAAATGAGCAGGTGGAACTTCACCCAGACCCCAGAGGAATCACCAGATTTGCCATACCAGGAGGACTCTACAGATACAAAAGACTCCTGCTTGTGGTGAACAAGGCCTCAGAGAAATTTCAGAAAATAATCATCATAATCATTAAGTCATTAAGGACTGCCCAGGGGCATATAATATGTCAGATGACATAGCACTTGTTGGTTGCACAGAAGTGGAGCATGATTAAAGACTAACAAGAGTGATTCACCATTTTGCAGAGCAAGGACTGACCATCAATGAGAAGTTGTTCCTAATCAAAATAACTATATAATACATGGGTTATATTTTGTCAGAAGCTGGTCTGAAAGTCTCACATGAAAAGGTGAAGGCCATTATTAATGCTCCATCACCAACACATGCCTCGCAGAGGTACAGTTTTCTCTAACTTAGCTCAGTTCTGTGCAAAGTTTGTACCTCAATTTGCCACTATAACCACTCCACTTTGGGAGCTCACAAAGCAAGACGTTGAGTGGAAATGGAAGAAAAGAGGAACAAGGTACATTTGACTAACTTAAGAACACTAATGGAAGCTCCAATCATGGCATACTACAATGTTGATCTTCCACCCCGAATCACAAGTGATGCCACAGGTTTGGGTGCAATTCTAGAAAAGTGACAGCCAGACAGTGTGTGGAAGCCAGTTTATTATGCCTTTAGGAAGCTCACACCCACTGAGTCTGGATACTCTCAGTTTGAGCGAGAAGCGCTTGGAGTGTTCTGGGCATGAAAGAAATTCAGCCTGTCTCTCATTGGTTGCGACTTCCAAATCTTGACTGACCACAAAGCACTGGCCAAAGTGCTGTCATCCATTTCAAATCCTCCATCAGCAAGGGTGGAGCTGTTATATCTACAACAGTGAGAAAGTGTCACCCATGCCCAGGTAGTAGGAAAAAATTATCCACCAGAAGAGGTAGAGTGTACACCAATGCCTGACCAACCCTGGACTTACCTTGCTATTGACCTAATAAGCATCTCTGAAGACAATTATCTACTTGTCGACTACTTCTCCCAATGGCCAGAAGTTGCCCGCACGAGTGTGACAAATGCAAAAATTTCCAGAGCATCAATCACATTAATGTTCAAAATTCATGGATATCCAAAATATCTAAGTGATAATTGACAACCATTTGCATCCAAAGAGTTTCATGACTCATCCCACATCTTAAAACAATACCATGCCGGCCTCAAACGGAGAAGTCGAATGGTCCAACAGATTATTTCTGAAAGCAGCAAAATTCACCAAGTTGGAAGAGAGACTGGAAGGCATTAAGGATTTTTTTGTTCCAGTAATGTGCCACTCCTCCCAGTGACAGGAGCATCCCCTACAAGATTGCTCATGAATCATGAACTCCACAACAAGCTACCCTGTGTAATGAGCTGGGTTTTTAGATGAAGCAGTGGGTGCAGCCTGAGAGGATTACCCCACTCATCCATAGGTGTGCCTGCAGTCAACTCCACTTAGACACACAATAACCAGGGCTGGTGGACAGGATTTGGCTTTTTATTTTAGTTAGATGCACACAGCTCACAAACATACTCCCTCTCCACTTTCCTTCATTCTTCTCATCTACCACACTCTTTTGGTGCACCACCAGTCTGCATCCAGCTGCACGCGTGCACACAGTCTTCTCCCACATCACGTTGTTAGCCCTGACATTTAGCTTGTTACACCAGTTTTGCTGGAACGCCAATGCA